CTGCCTTAGAAAACTCATCAACAACTGGGCCACTTTCAGAAATATTTTGGTTTGCATACTTTTGTTTTAATCAAAGGTAACCCCAGCCTTTTCTATATTTGCCTGATTATTTCTGCTCTAAAAATTTTTTATCACTACACCAGTTTCTGAAGGATGCTCCCTCTCTCCTCCAGTCTAGTTTTGTGTTTCTCCTTGACTACCACACTATACTTGCAAGTTGTTCGTGATACTTTTCATCATAATTACAGGTGATGAGTTTCTGTGTCTGCCTTGCTAGGTCAATGAGATTCTTCAGAGCACAGATGTGTCTTATTCTAAATACTGGTCCAGGTAATGATTGTGAGTTTAGGAAAGTGAGGGGTTAGATAGTTGTGATCATGCACATGTACACAAATTAATGGATGTTCCTGAAATGTTTTCTCTGTAAACACTACCTTATATCTTATATGTAGGATATCCATTTTTAAAACCTGTATGTGCAGTAAAAGTAAGAAAGATGTATTTCATTAATCCATATCACAATATAGTTCATTTCTATATTATATGTATTTACTCTTTTGAGCCACATGAAATAACTCCTAGTAAACACAAGCACAAGCTGTAAACTTTAGAGAACTCATTACTCTAGAAACTATATAATTATGGCAGTCCTTAGAAAAATCACCACCAGTCCGCATTGAAATATATAATTTTAAATTACTTAAAACATAATTCTATAAACATAGTACATCAAACTAACACATGAAACTAACAACCTGTAAATTACAAGAAAACTTGACCAAGAAAGATCCCCTGTATATCAATTACAAACTAAATATGTGGATCAATGCAATTTGAAGAGAAATTTCACAATTTCATTGAACACTGAATGTTAAATAGGGCCTGAAAATTGAAAATAAACTGAGATAATAATAAAAGGAAAGTGAGGAAATGAAGATTTTTTAAAAAAAATTGTGACATAGGTTAAGTGCTAATTGCAATATGAAAATACAGATAATTTGAGCACATATTCATTGCAATACCATCCCCACTTACCTGACCAAAGGAAAAACTGAACTGCAGAAATATTTTCACTATTACTAGACTTTTAAGCACTGTTTTCCTCTGTGACCTATGTGGTTAGTGCTCCAGCTCTCTCAATAGCTTGGTGACCACTTGATGACTCACTGACCTGGGTCCCCAGCCCATTCACCAAGGGAACTCCATTTTAATTCTCATGACATGAAGAGAAAAATGAGTACTAAAAATGTGGGGTAAAAAAATAATGCAATGAAAATAAAACTTCATGTAATAAAATATGACAATAAAATATTTGCAAGGAAGATCAATACCTCCTAACACTTTAAAGCCTATTTGTATAATTAGACCAATGCTAGTGAACAGGGAGGAGCTATTAACAAGTTCACTAGTAAGGGACATTAAAAATCCTAGTGGAAACACATACATGGAGAATGCATGAAAACATTACCTGTAGTTTAGCTCATTAATACAGTAATCCACCCCATTTCAGCTATATTAGCATTAATTAACATGGAAATGTATCATATTGGCCAAACTCATTTTCCTACACACATAGTCAAAGTCCCAATGCCATTTGTTACTGATCTCAAAGTCCATGGCTTTTAATACCTATATTATACTGCTTCCTATAATATCATTACTAAAACACACTAGTAAGAGTGCACAGGTGGGCCCTCCCTGGTGGCGCAGCGGGTTAAAGCACTGCACTAAGAAGTTTAAGCCACCTCCGCATGAGTTCGATTCCCGCCTGTCCCAGAGGTGACCACATGGTGTAGCAGACCTCTCCTGACCCGCCCGCTGCTCCCCTCAGCAGTGTACTTCGTAGATCTGCCTGTTCTGTTCCCCGCTCTGTCTCTGGTGAAGCCTCTCACCCTCCGCATCTCTGGCCTGTACCCCAGTTCTATATGAATAAATAAATAAATCTTAAAAAAAAAAAGAGTGCACAGGTGGAATTAGCTTTAACCTTTTCTGAATATATTTAGATATGCTATTTCATCTACTATTCTTTCACTCAGCATGTTTTTTAAGTCATACATACTGAAATGTGTCTCAGTGCCTCATTCTTCATAATTGAGTAATATTCCTCTGTGTGACTAGGTCACATTTGTATACCCATTCAATAGCTGAAGCACATTTCAATTGTATCTAACTTTGGCTATTGTTATTAATGCTAGTATGAACATTCATGCATAAATTTTTGTTTGAATATCTATTTCAATTCTTTCCTGTAAATTTATGCATAAAATTTATGGGTCCTATGATAACTCTATGTTTAATCTTTTTAGTTATTCTCTTAATACTTTATAAAATAGATGCATCATTTACATACCTACCAACAATATACAGGTTTTCAACTTCTCACCACTCTTGCTAAAAATTATTTCTAAATTTGTTTTATCATTGGGCATTTATTTTTTTTAAAGATTTATTTATTTATGCATACAGAGCTGGGATACAGGCCAGAGGTGCAGAGGGTGAGAGGATTCACCAGAAACAGAATGGGAAGCAGAACAGGCCGACTGACAAACTACACCGCTGAGGGGAGCAGTGGGCAGGTTAGGAGAGGTCTGCTGTACCATGTGGGATGGGGATAGAAGTTATGATGAAGTGGCTTTAGTTTCTTAGTGCTGTGCTTTAACCAGCTGCGCCATCAGGGGAGGCCGAGCATTTATTTTTAATGTAATGGACATCTTAACAGATGTAGCTATTGAATACTGTTTATTGATCCTTGTTGCTTTGTCTTCTCAAATTTGAAATGAAATCTTTAAGAATGTAATAAACTATTATAAAAATAAAAAAAGAATATAATGAAGTTCAGATATTTAAAAAAAATTTTTTTTCCATTGAGGTAATACTGGTTGAAGTTAGTACATACAATTCAGAAGTACAGCATCACTTCTTTTCAGAGGTTTACTCCCACACAACACCCACGTCCAAAGCCCTCATAATCTTTTACCACAACCCATTGTGCACCTCCCACTTTGCTTTCTACCAATTTTTGCTTTGATTGTGAAAAAAAATATTCAAAATGCACACCTAATAAAGAATTTGCATCCAAAATATGGGAAAAGTCCATAAATCTCAACAATATGAAAACAATCTAATTTTCAAAGGAGAAAATATCCAGAGAGCTCATGGAAGAAGAAATGTAGATGACAAAAAAAAAAAAGTGTATGAAAGATTCTTAACATCAACTGTCATTACAGAATATTAATTCTAAACAACAAACGTGTGCCTACAAAACTGACAAAAACATGGCCCACCCTGGTGGCGCAGCAGGTTATAAGCACAGAACTAAGAAGCTAAAGCCACTTCAGAATGAGTTCTATCCCCACCCTGGAGGTGGCCTACATGGCACAGCAGACCTCTCCTGGCCTGCCCGCTGCTCCCCTCAGCAGTGTACTTCGTCGGTCAACCTGTTCTGCTCCCCACTGTCTCTGGTGAATCATCTCACTGCCCATGCACCTCTGGCCTGTACCCCAGCTCTGTATGCATAAATAAATAAATCTTTTTAAAAAACTGACAAAAATAGGCAAAATGACAATACAAATCATGGCAGGAATATCAATAAAATGGGGAAGTGTGTGAAAACATCATAAAATGCAAAGACCAAGAATATTGTGGGGGGAGAGCAATTAAGTTGTTGTTGGAATTTCTATGATACTGTCCCCTACAAGCAAAATCAGCAAAAAGGCCAGAAAATTAAAAGAACTAGTCAAGACAAATTCCTGTATCTTAATCTCTAGAAAGCTAAAATAATTGCAGTGGCTGTGAAAAACACCCTGACAGTTTCCCAGAATGTGAAACTTAGAGTTCTCTTGTCACTAAATCTGCTTGAGAATCAAAAACAGATGCTCCAAATAAATAAATAAATAAAAATTGTGCATGTCTTTAGAAGCCTTGTCCACAATAATCAAAAGACAGAGATGATCCAATGTTTATCACTGACGACAGCATAAAGAGAGTGGTATAGCCACATCATAGACTATTACTTAGTTGAAAAATGAATGAAGTTGTGGGATGTTAACATGTGGGTAAACCTTGAAAACATTATGTTAAGTGAAATAACTCAAACACACAGGGTCACAAAACATAATTCCACTTCTATGAGATGTCAAGATCAGTCAAATCTATAGTTATAGTAAGTGAATTACTGGTTGCTAGGAAATAGAAAGATAAGAAAAGCACCTGATCATAAGTACACAATTTCATTTCAAAGATGAAAATGTATTTTTTAAAGTAGAAAAGACAGGTAGGAAGTGTATGTCCAAAAGTTATGGAATCAGGAATACAAATTCACACATCACACATCAACTTTCTCTATTTATTAATTTTTGTCATATAATGGGTAAAACAGATTAAGGATGCTATAAATATGTAAATTTTTAAAACGATTTCCAGTGATTCTATTTTATAAAATCCTTACTATCAGGCATAAAGTGCATTTATTTACAAATTCACTTAGTAAGATTTTCCTGACTGCCCACTGAGAGTACTCAATATATACAAAATACTTTTTCAGATCTTGGCTTGAAATCCTGAACTGCCTTTACGAAGTGAAAACTTTTATGAAATTGCTTATGTGAAATAACTCATCACTGGTATATACAGTTAAATTGTCATAATAGAGTATAATGTTAAAACATCATGTGAAAAGTAATGGTATCTTTTAGAAGATACCACATTCTTCTAAATATCGATCCCAGGGTGTCCACAGCCACTGCAGAACAAATTCAATCCCCAGCCAGGGAGGTGACCAACATAAAACAGAAGACCTCGCCTGTCACACCCACTGCTTCCCTAACCAGCAAATTTCAGTTATTCTGCACGTTCTGCTCCCCACTCGATATCTCCTGAATCCTCTTATGCCCTACACTTCTGGCTGGCACCCCATTTCTTATAGAAAAATATGAGTAAATAGTTTAAAATTTGAAAACAATAAATAGTTAAGCAGCTCCTTCTAAAATAGCTAACATGAACTACTTAGGAGAGCTCCTCAAACTCAATAAGTAACTGCTCAGTCTCTTCATTGATGACTTCATATCTTTGTTTCTCAATGTGTAAATGGCAGGATTCAAAATGGGAGTAATCAAAAAATCCAAAATGGCAAGAAATTTATCCACTGGCACCGTGGGAAATGGCCATATGTATATAAACATGCATGGGCCAAAGAATAAAATCACCACAGTGATATGAGCTGACAGAGTAGACAGGGCCTTGGACAAACCAGCTGGAGAACTTTTCCACACAGTGAACAGGATGTAGATATAGGACATAATCAGTAGGAAGAAAGTTCCCATGGAAATGAACCCACTGTTGGCAGTCACCATAAATTCCATTTTATATGTATCCATGCAAGAAAGTTTGATAAACCAAGGAAGGTCACAGTAAAAACTATCTATTTCGTTAGGACCGCAGAAAGGCAAATGGACAACAAAAGCCAACTGGACTACAGAGTGTGTGAGGCCTATGATCCAAGCAGCAGACAAAAGGAAAATGCACATGCATGGGTTCATGATGGTCATGTAGTGCAGGGGCTTACATATGGCCACATATCTGTCCAAGGCCATGGCGATGAGCAGCACCATCTCAGACCCACCCATCAGATGCAGGACAAATATCTGCATGATACATCCTGGGAAGGATATGGTCTTCTGTCGGGAAGTAAGGTTAGAAATCATCTTGGGAACAGTTGCAGAAGACAGACAGAAATCAATAAATGAGAGATTGGCTAAAAGGAAGTACATGGGGGAATGTAGATGAGGATCAAATGTCACAGTAAGCACAACAAGGAGATTTCCCAGAAAAATGGTTATGTAAAACACTGTAGAGAAGACAAGGAGGAAATACTGCACTGGCCTAGAGGCAGAAAGTCCGAGCAATACAAATTGAGACACTGCAGAGTAGTTTGCTTCATACATTAGATTTTCTTCTGATGCCTATAACAAAGACAACATAACAAAGATTTCTAAATAAAACATTAACATATAGTAAACATTTAATCAATTAAAATATTAAATCTCATATTAAATGAGACATCTTACCTATCAACCATAAGGTGTTTCCAAAATGTTATGTATTAATATCCCAATTCAACTAATAGCCCACTGAGCATAAACAATATTCCTAATGCACATCTACTAAATGACAGGCAGTATTATTTGATATGAGGGAGTTTATGTAAAGGAAAAGAACTTAGTACTAGGAGACAAGGTGACTCATCACAAAAGTGCTTGTTCATGTACAGCCATTTAGATGCAGATATTTCTGAAAAGTAAGTTGAGCAGGCCAGACTTGAACATGCCATAGGCAACACCCTGAGAAAGGAAAGCCAGTGGGAAAGACGATCAATGACTGAGATCAGTTGACAATAATTGGCCAGACAGGATGGAACTTGCATCCATGAAAGACATATTTCACATCGGTGTGTGGACAGGGTGATTTATTCAACAGTAGTGCTGGCACAACAGGTAAAACGTGGAAAATTCAGATCTCTGCCTCTCAACATAAAGTCAGTTGAATATTTAAAAGTTAAGCAGCAAACATAAGGATGGAAAATACACTGCAAATATATGCCTTGTTAAAAATTCAGAGAGGAAGTAATTGACAGTGTCTAAAATATTCTAATCAGAATCATATCAAATTTACAAAATTTAAAACTTCTCAAATTTAACTAATGATCAAGACAATTTACTTACAGTCATAATTAGTAAGTCAAAAATCAAGGTAAAAGTCACCTTTTAGAAAATGTTTGTTTTAAAAATCTACAGACAACATTAATGTTTATGATAGAGAGTCAATAAATCCTCCAAATAGGGGAGGCATTTCAACCACATACGGAAAGAAACAAAAAAATCAGTGTATTAATTTCTGTCAATAGTGGACACTGAGTGATAAACCAATGCATTTTATTCAAATTGAGAAAATATTAAGGATAAAAAAATTAAAAATCCATTTTTGAAACTTTATCTGCACTAAAAATTAGAATGACATAGATCTTTAATTCATCTCTGTATTGTATGCGTTAATTAATTTGAACCATATGAAATTATTCCTCAACAAAGAGGGGCAACTCTCAGTATTAGAGAGTTTGAACAATTTGAAATCAAAATATCACAAGGAAATTATTGATCTTTATTCTGCACCTCAGCAAATGCTAAGGACACCAGACTTGTGCTGTTATTACCAGCTTACCAGTTCCACATCACGTCTTTCTCAAGTCACTCCACAAGGTCTATTGTGGACACACAAGGGCATGACCTCAGTATCTGAGCCGAATATTATGGACCATGACCCAAATGAGCCAAGAGTAAGGACACAGCAGCCAAGCAGTTAGCAAAGGGCATTAGGAAACCCATGGACATACAGCAGCTTGTGAATAAAAGGAAACACCGCAGTGAAGATGTCAGGAGATGCTGACACAGGGATATAGACGGAGAGTTGGGCACCCAACAATTAATTCCTAGAACAGATCATGACCTAGGAAAGGACAATGGAATCATCATAAAAGTAAACAAGAGGGCATGCATTTCAAAGTGGAACAGCAGCAGACCATTCAAAGGCTCTATAGTTAAGATTCAGTCTTAAAGTTCTGATCATGCACACAAGTGTAAAAATGGATCGCCTCTGGTATTCATTTCCTAGTATCTATACTGTCATTTTCTATAAGTGGTTAAAAAATCATGTATTTCTTTTTACTTAAAAATGCATTTTTAAATATAAAATAAGAGGTTCAAGATGCACTTTGCTTTGAAACAGATGATAGTAATGACACCAGCAATTAAACATAAAAAGTACAGTAAAGTTTCACAACTGTATCAACACCTGTTTCCTTATCAGAAATCTCAAGAGGCCACACAGAAAATCTTCTCTGTAACACATTGATTTCCACGATAAAAAATAAATCCTCTTCTAGTTTCTTTACAATAAATATTTGCCTGGGAAATTGATACTGGGAAAGAAAGAGATAACAGGAAAAAGAAAGGCAGAGAAAGTCATAGGCATGGAATAAAATAAAAGGAGTGATGGAAAGAGGCAAGAAAGAGCCTCCCAGAAGTAGAGGGGAAGCAGCTACCGCAGCACTAAGGTAGGAGAGGCCCAGAGTCAGCTCTTGCTGCTCACTGATTCAGACTCCTCAGCAGCCTCACTGGCTGCCACAGCACCTTGGCCGATGTCTAGAGCTACTTCAGTGTGTCCACAGTCAATGCCTCAGACACTCATCTTTCTCCCTCCCTCAGAAGACTCATCAAGGCTGGGACATTATTTATTCTTTCAGAAGTGTTCTGGTTGATGCATACTTTGGACAAATGCTCAGGTTGAGGTATACTTTGTTTTAACTGAAGGTTATCCCCGACCTTTTCCTCCTTTGGCTGATTATTTCTGCTCAAAAATTTTTATCTCCACACCAGTTACTCCAGGATCCTGCCTCACTCCGCCAGTTTACCTTTCTGTCCTCATTTCAATAACACATTATACTTGCAAGTTGTTCATAATACTTTCCATGAAGAGTATAGGTGACGGGTTTCTGTGTTTGGGCTGCTAGGTCGATGAGCTTCTTGAGAGCAGGACTGACTCTTATTCTAAATATGATTTGGTTATTATTGTGAGTTTAGGATAGCACATGTTAGATACTTGTGGTCATGCATATGTACATAAATGAGTGGATATTTCTGAAATGGTTCTCAGTAATAATAACCTACATCTTCCCCTTTAGATAACTGATGGCAATACAATTCTTAAGGCATAGCTGCTGCTCTAGAAACTATATGATAGTTCTGGAAAATTCACATTACCACTCATTTCAGCGGCCCATATTGAATTACCATATATCATTTTAAATTATTTAAAACAGAACTCTACAAACATTGTATATCAAACTCATATATGAAACTTACAACTTTTAAATGAAAAATAAAAACTAGACTAAGAGAGATTCCTGTATATCAGGCAATAGGTTTGCAGAGCAATGCGCTTTGAAGAGAAATATCTCATCCTATTTTAAAAAATTGGTACCTTTGGGTTCAATAAATCACTGAATTGACAATCACAACTGTGATGAGAATGCAAGGAAGGAAAAGGCAGATTAGTGAGAAATTTCATAAATTGTGGCAGAGATACTAAGGAGTAATTGTAACAGGTAATTCTAGCATATTCAGTACAGTCATACCATCCCCACTTACCTGACCAAAACAAAACAAAACAAAACAAAAACAAATCCCTGAACTTAGAAATGGTTAGTTTAAGTATTACTAGACTTTTAAGATTGTTTCTCTCTGTATTATGTTGTTACTGCTTCTCACAGCTGCTCCAGCTCTATCAATAGCTTGGTGGCCATGTGATGACTCACTGACCAGAGTCCCCAGCCCATTCACCATGGGAGCTCCATTTTAATTCTCATGACAAGAAGAGAAAATGCATATTAAAAGCTGGGTTAAAAATAACGGAAAGAAAGAAAAAAAATAATGGAAAGAAAAGAAAACTTCATGTAATAAAATATGACAGTAAAATATCTTCAAGGAAGATCAGTGCCTCCTAATACTGTACAGCCTATTTGTAAATATCACATAGACCATTACCAGGGAAAGGGGAATAGCTATTAACAAGTTCATTAATAAGGGCCATTTAAAATACTTTTGGAAACACAGTTATGGCATTTCCATGGAAACACTGTACCAGCAGTTTAGGTCATTGGTACAGTTATCCTCCCCTTTTCATGATATACTTGCATTAATTAAATACATGTAAAAATATTGTGAGAGTCACTCTGCTCCACCCATTTCAATATTCAAATGCCATTAATTCATGATCTCCAAGACCATGGCTTTAATCCCTACACCATTCTGCTTCCTTCTATATTATTACTGTAACACTTAAGAGTTTACAGGTAGAGTTAACATATATGTTTTCTGAGTGTCTTCACATATATTATCTCATCTATTCTTCCTAACAAAATAGTCAGATGGAAGTGCACCGTCTTCCCTCAGATGAAGAAATGAGGTATTGATTTTACATAATGGTAGGAAAGGATAGTCAACTTATATTTCCCAGATTCATTCCACTGGTCTTTTAGTTTACTAAATCATACCACCCGTACTAAGTGAGAGAAATGCTGTTTAGAGCAGCCACATGCACACACTAGAGAACAAAGGCCACACGTTCTTCCTCAGAACTCTGTTTCAAAATACCATTTCCTGATTTTTGTTAGCTAAACTGCTGTCAACAGTTTTACCAATCATTTTACTAAATTATGTGAACATCTACATAGTGTGTAAGTACACACAAAAGCATAATATTAATAAATATCAAGCAAAGAGAAAGGTAAACTAAGCAAAAATATGTGACGAGACCACATGCTGAACCACTGTGACTGAAGTCTTCTTATAATAAAAATATCATTTCCTCATTTATTATTAGTTTCTAACTGCACCTGCTTTCATTTAACTAATTTGACACTACATTAATTTTATTAAAGGTACAATGCAGTGGCATTTTGTATGATTATAATATTGTGCAGTCACCAGCTTATGCTGTCACGGGATATGTTATTACCCAACAGGAAATGAGTGTCCTTGGGCATTCATTCTCCCCCTACTTTCCCCTACATAGGTTTTCAATTTCTCCCCATCCTTGCTAACACTTTTTTTTAGATTTCTACTTTATTGTTAGATATTTGTTTTTAATATATTGGACATCACAGTAGATGTGAAGTATGTGTCCTCCTTGGTGGTGCCACCAGGTTAAAGTGCAGCAATGCAAAGCTAGCCACTTCCACTATCTGAGTTTCAAGTTCTGAAAACCACCTAATACTAAAGAGAAAATCAACACATTATTTTATGATTACTTTTCCTATCCCTTACCCATTAAAAATGCTTTATTTATTAGAGATTAAACATTACATAGAATTCTTTCATGTGAGCCTCTT